TTTGCTGTATTTACTGTTACTTCCCCTACAGATAGCACGCTGTCTACAGACAGGGCTCCCGGCTTGATGGCCTGAGTCGCTCTAGCTCACAGGCGGGCCTGCAGAGCAGCTTAGAACAGAGGAGCAGCCAGTGGCGGCGGGGCCGGCCAGGGACAGGCTCAGCTGAGGCACAGGAGTCCTTTCCGATCTCCCGGAAAAGGACCCTTCACCCCTTCCTGCAGCTCAGACCTCACCGACCTGGCCCCACCTGGCCTGCACCACTGCTGGATTCCCCAGCCCAGAGCCCCAGCAGCTCTTAGGCCCAGGACCCCGGACCCCATGGCTACACCAAAGGCCAGGTGTCCAGGCCCAGCGGGAGGCTGAGCAAGGTCCCTATGGCGTGGAGGAGGAAAACTGACTTCCAGCTCAGTGGACCCCCAGCCAGTACAAGTCAGCTTCGCCTGGGAACTGTCGGGAAATAGCAGTCTAGGCCTCATCCTAAACCCCGTGAATCAAAACTCAGGAGGGGCCCAAACAACTTGTATTTTTGGTTGTTGAGGTGGCGATGCTGGTACTGAGGACCGAACCAGGGTCTTTGCACTGAGCTACATCCCGCCACCCCCATCACCTTTTAAAGTTTTTGAGACAGGATCTTGCTAAATTGCTCAGGCTGAGCTTGAACTTGCAGTCCTCCTGCCCCAGGCTCCCAGGGTGCTAGGATTATAGGCCTGTACCACCACACCCAGCTTGGAACAATTTCTTTTAATAAAGCCTCGAGGGAATTCTGAGGATTGAATTTGAGAATCCCGGTGCTGTGGGAAGGAGGGGCTGGTGGGAGCTCTGGAGGCAGGGCGGATTTCTGGGGAGAAACCAGGGCCCTGTGGCCATGCCGAGGCAGGGCACGGAGCCCTGGGCTGGACTGGCTCCCTATCTGAGGCCTCTTGCTGTGTGGTCCCAGCTTGAGTCCGACCTGGGGGGGTCAAGATTGCAAGGCCAGGGCTCCCGGGTATCCCCGGCCCACCCCAGGAAAGTCAGTGCGGGGCACTGTGATCTCCCTGCCTGCAGCCCGTGGCCCGGCCTGGCCCTGGGCGCCTCGTTGTCCTCAGGTTCCCCTCCCCGCCCCCATCCCTCTCTTCCCCGTTTCCTTCTCCACCGGAATCCCTCATTCCTCCTTCATCATTTTGTTTTCCCTCAGATCCTCCTCAACCCATCTGCCCTAGCAGGAGGGAGCTAGCACAAGACAGGTACCCAGACTTCCCCAAACCCCTGTCCCCTGCTCCAGCACTTACTGTTGTCCCTTCTCCCCCACTTTTGATTTCTAAGAGAAATTTTCTTCTGGAAGGTCACAAGGCTGGATTAAAAAGCCTGTGTTTGTCTGCTGGCTAGAAAGTTGCAATTACAGTGTGCATCTCCTCAGGGAATGCCTGCAGTTTAAGCTGTTATCAGCTGTTTACACCTGGGGACAGTGACCTGTGAGGCAGCCCAGCCCCAGAACCTGGTATTTACTCACTTTCACTTTGGAGGAGCTGTTTACCAGGAAAAGGTCTGCAGCTCCCAGCTGTGTACGGAGCACCTAGTAATGCTAGCCAGGGGCACTGCCTGATAGGAATAATGTGAACATGTCTAAGAGTTAATTAACATTTTCTAGTAGCCACATTTCAAAAGCAAAAAGGCATAGGTGAAATTAATTTGGCATAGGTGAAACTAATATACCCATATATCATTTCCATATGTAATCAGTGTACAGTAAAACTATCCACGCGACATTTTACATTTACAGGTTTTTTTGTCATGCTGAGTCCTTAGAGTGCTGTGTGTATGTTGTGTGTCTAGCACATTTCAGTTGCGTCCTAGGCACATTTCAGGTGCTTAATGGTCGCACTGGCTGGTGGCTATTGTAGAGATCAGGGCAACTTGAGGCCACCAGAGAACAGCGGCGGAAAGAGGGAGAAACATCCAGTGTCCCTGTGAATGAGTGATCACACGGTGTTCAATATCGGGAAATCATTAAAACAGTAATGGTGCAGAAGGACTGGACATCAGTTAGTGCCTTCAATCTCCCTGCAAGTTTAATAATACTATGTACAAATTTATACAGAGGAAAACTGAGGCCCCAGAAAATGCAGCTTGTCCAAGTGCCTGCAAATGGTAAATTGTGTGTCCAGGATGAAATCCCTTTGAACAGACTGCCAAGCCAGCTCCCATCACCTTCCAAGACCAGGCCAGGCTGCCACCAGGAAGAAACTGAGGAAGGAGAAGTTGAACAGCTTCTGGCTCAGAACTTTTGAGCACTGAGAGTTCAGTGGTGCTGTGTGCCTCTAATTGGGTTTCATGACCTCTCTGGACCTTCCTTCCTTCAAGGTCAAATCAAAGGCACGGCCTTTCATGCTAGCCCATCCACAAAATGATAAAGAGGTGTGAACAAAACAGAAACCTGTCACTGTCAAATGTACCTGCTTTCACAGAGGTTCCTTGCAAAGCTCAATGTGATTGTACTGCACATACCACAGAGCAGGGCTTGGATGTTGGTTGGACGTCCTAACGTTCGAGTTTCAACCTTCTCTGTCTCCAAAGGGAATCTGTTTCAGGGCACATTTGTGGAAACAAAATGGTGTTGCATGTCAGCCCCTCACAGTAACAAGCACAGAACTGATCAGGACTAGTAATAGCCAGTAACTATTGTCTGTGACATTAAGGGTCCTCATGGAGGTTGTGCAGTTAGCCATAGAGGGAGCCATATTTGAGCCTTAGGCCTCTCACCTGCAGGCTGTGTGAAGGAAGCAAGTCAGTACCTCTGGACTTGGGGTTTTCCTTCTCTGGACAAGGTGCCACAGTGCCTTTGAGGTTCTGTGGAGGGTGAGCTGTGAGAGCCGCAAGGCACTGTCTGCTTGGTGATTCTTCTCGGCGCTCATCTCTCTGTTGAGGCTTCAGGTTCAGACCTGTGTAGACTAAGCCGCCTCATCATTGCCTTTGTGGCCAAAAGCACCCAGAACTCCATCTTTCTTGTCTTTGTACCACCGGCAGCCATACGCATGTTGGACACCATAACTTGTAACACAGTAGGAGGAAATACTCCCAAGCATTCCCAATATGCAGCTTTCTGCCTCCTGAAGCTCCCAGAACTACTCACAGTTCTGTGTCCCACGCCTCAGTGTTCGTGTGCTGTGCACGAGCTGGGGCCACTGGCTGGGATTACTCCCTGGTTCTTCACTTTGGCCCTGGCTGGAGGGCTCCTAGCACTGGGCTCCAGTCTCCTCCTAAACCCTCTTAGACCCACCCAGCCAGAGCTGCTCACCACCTCCCAGTGGGGTCTCAGCGACCCTGCAGATGCTGTGCACGCTGTCACCTGTGGGACAGCTGTGACTGTCCATCTGACAGCGGCCAGGCAGCACAGCCAGGATGCTCAGTGGCCAGGGAAACTAGCTTCAAATCCTGGCTCTAATACTTCCTGGTCCTGTTGCTTTGGGGACATTACTTACCCTCTCTGCCTCAATTTCCTTATCCGTTATGCATAACATTAATGACCGCTCTTGTGGAAAAGAAGCACACTAAACCCTTAGAAGAGTGTCTGGTGTATAGTAGGCGTTCCACAAATTTCCACTTCTATTAATGTTTTCCTCTTTTTTATCTAGCAGCAAGGGCTGGATATTACCTTTGGTGCCTAAAACAACCCTGGAAAGGCTCAACAAAGTATTGTTGAAGGAATGACTCAGAGAATCCCACAGGCTGCGCATTCCTGGGCTCTACTGAGCCTCTCCCTTCTGCCCCACCCCACCCCATCCTGTGCAATCCCTACTTTTCCTTAAAAATGGGTCTCATGGCTTCTGCTTTCCATTTGGTACCAGAGCTGCTTTGGTGGCCAGGAGTTCCCCTTCCTCCCGCCCAGTTTCCTATTTGACTTTCTGACTCAGATTCTTCCTGTCCCACCCTGCCTGGACCCTGGCTTCAGATCTTGCCTGTGACAATGTTGCTTCCTCTACTCATTCTCTGTTGCTGATCTCCCCAGATACCAAATTTTCTACCGAATTACATCAGAGGTCTTCTGCCAGGGGTCTTGAGTTCCTCTTGCCTTTCAGTCCCCTCCCAACACTTATTTATCTTTTTGCTGCTTGCCTGAGCTCTATTGTGAGCTGCCCTTCCATAATCTTCCCTACCTGTCGAACCTTCTATCCGATCCACCCACCCAAATCACCCACCTGTCCACTCCCCATCCATTCAGCTACCCAGTCATCCTTTCACCTTTCCACCTACCCACCTAACTACCAGCTACTCATCCGCCTCCTCCATCCATCCACCTTCCCATCCACCCACCCATCCATCCATCCTTCCATCCATCCATCCATCTATCCATCCATCTATCCATCTATTCATCTGTCTGTCCACCTAGGTATTCAATTAATATGTACTGTTTCATATCACTCTTCAGCCTCTATATGGAATATAGGCTTGAAAACAAAAGGCTGGTCTTTAGCTTCATGTAGTTTCTTATCTACTAAGGAAATTGGTAAGCGAAGAACTATAGTTAGACAGAAACCAGGTTGTGCCATATAATATACTACCATGTTTCAAAATTAAAGTGCATGGATGAGCTTCAGGGACTCTGTGAACCCCTCAAAATCATAAGCAACACTGTGTGGATGTGAGGGTGTGCAGCACCTCTTTTTACAGGGTGCACCTTTCAGAGGACAGGCTCCATGCCGTCATGGCACTGGCGAGGGAGAGTCCACAGAAAGCCCCAGGGTCCGGATGTGGAGAAGCCTGGGGAAGAGATAGCTCGACTTCCAGGTCTTGAAGGAAGGAAGGGGGTAATTAACATTTGTTTCAGACCCACAATGCCACAATGCACCAGGCACCACTGTTGGTTTTGCAGTGTTGGCTATATCCTGTTTAGAATATGGGCATGAACAAGAAACAGGTGGAGGAAGCTAGCCTTTCTTTACTGAACATGGAGCTAGACAATGTCATCACATTTAATGTTTACAGTAATCTTCCAAAACAAATTCAAGATCTCTGTTTTACAGAGGAAGACACCAAGAGAGAGGAGAAACAAGGTCTACAATCCCACAATCTCGGGAAGAGAGTCAGGATCTGAACCCAGGTCTCTGAGGCCCAGGGTCTCTTGCTCCCTCCTAGGGACAGCTGTGGACCTGGGTTGTCCCTGTACCACACAGAATAAGAGAAGGTGTTGTCGTCCACCTCTGAGCGCATTGCAAGGCCAGCACAAGCAAAGGATTTACTGTTGTTAAATTTTCAACCAGAGTGACCTTTTCCTGCAGATCCAGCCCACAGGAAAGGTCGGCGAGCTGACTGCCCCCTTATTTATCAGAGCAGTTTCCAGGAACTCAGCTGGCACCGGGCAGTCACTCAGCAGGCACTTGTGGCTTGACTGCTGGCTGAAAGGTGCCGTTGCCCTGCCACCAGCCCCCACAGCCTGCATCTGGACGGGGAGAGGAAATGTTACCTCTGGCATGTGCTGCCAGCCCCCTCACGACTCCCTGGGCTGGCCGTCAGGACACACGCTGCTCCATGTCCAGATCTCTGGAACCTTCAAGAAAGCTTATGTCCAGTCTGACCCCAACGCTGCCCAACACCCCCACTCCCTCCCTGCACACCAGGCGCTCAGACTCAAGTGGGGAGGCTCATCCCACTGACCTCTCAGCCCCTCCCACTCACATAAGACTGGGAAGGATTCGGGAGAAAAAAAACGCTTTCATCCTGAAGGCAAGAACCAGGCTACACCTCTCACCTGGCTTTAGCCTTGCCTCCTCTCCCCTCAAAGCCCCACCCTCATCTGGAGTGCCACCACCATTGCCCCAGTCATAGCTTTCTCCTTGGTGGTCAGTGGGTCCCCAGCCCTGGGGCTGCTGCTCTAGTGGCCAGATCAGCAATTGCAGATGAGTCTCGTTACCTCCGGAGCACGGGAAGCTGATTATAGAGCTTGGGGTGCAGTGCAGCCTCCCTGCCCCATTCTTATCCACAGGACCAGCATTCTGCCCTACAGGTGCCCTGCCCACCTCCTGCCCAGCCAGTCCTGGCTGTGACAGCACCGCCACCACCCCACAGCAGCTGCAGTTACAAAGTGGGTGAGGCAGAGGGACTCGCTTCAACCCTGACATTCAGTCCGTCCCTTGTGACTTGGGCTGCTTGTCCCTGGGCTGTTGGATAGGAGCAGGGACAGCCTTTTCACTAGATATCTGGGGCAGGGGGGAAAGGTCAGCATTCAGACTGGGCTGCTGAGTCATGACCGAGACTCCCGAGCCTCCAGGTCCCGGCAGTGACTTCGTCTCATCAGGATCTTCCTCCCCCTTGCAGCTGGGTGGGAGGGATTCAGCACAGGGCAACCCTGTGAGAATGTCCTTGTCTCCCTTCATAAAAAAAGATGTCAGGACATGGTCAGCAAGAGAGCAGGCTTTGGAGTTGGACCCACAGCAAGTTCCCTGACTCCCTGCCTCAGCTCCTCCTGGCCATCGTGGGGACCGTCTGTACCACCCAACTTGGGGGACAGTTGTGAGAATAAAGGAGGTCATGCATGCCAAAGGCTCAGCAGAGTACATGTCAAACAATAAGTGTCCAAAGGGGCAGGCATTATTGCTTGGTCTTGAGGGATCTTTGCGCCCCCACAGACACCAGGCTCTGGTACCCACTGCCCTGCTTCTGGTAATATGCCTGTGGCTTTGGAAAATTTGATTGAAATGGAACAGGAGTGGGACAGGAAGAAAGAAAAGATGAGTGACTTTTATTTTAACCATCTCAGATGCACAAACTTCTTGCCCAATATGGATAATTCCCAGCTATGTTTGCCCCCTCAGAAACCAAAGCCGAGGCAGATGTGAGTGCCATGCACACAGCTTGGAAAGCAGGTGGTCCTACGTCAAGCTTCTGGTCTTAGACAACTAGAGAAAACAGCCCCTAAACTGCTACCTCTGACATGCACGGCTCCCTTACCAGCCCATGAACTCAAACTGATCTTTCATGTGCTGGCTCTTGGTTCAATCTTCTTCCTTCCCGCATCCAAGGTGTCTCCTCCTCCACTTAGAGGGAAAGCATCCATGCACACTTCAGACCAACATGGAGAAGATCTAATGTGCTCTGCGTCATCTGGCAAGATGTTTCACCTCCCTGGTAACCTAGCTATCTTTAGCCTCCTTGATGCTATTTTGAAATGTCAAACTAGCAAATACTGCTTCCAAAACAGTTCTGATCTGGGATGTGACAGGATGCGTGGGGGTGGGGAGATGAGGAGGTGGGAGGGAAAAGAGCCTCTGGTGGCGGGTGAGATAATGCACCCGCTTGGCAACTGCCAGGATTCTCTCCCTTCTAACGTCCCAGCCACCTCCTCTGGGGGCCGACCCACCCAGGGGGAAGTGGAGCATGAGTCCCACCAGGGCCTAACCCAGAGGGACGTTTGTGTATCTGACTCGGGAGCACACTGGACACTACACAAACTGACTCCCATGTGCCTGGTTCTGTGTGAAAATATTCACTCATGCATTCATTCCTTCAACAGGTATTATTATTACGAGCTAGGTGTCAGGCGCTATACCAGGCAAAGGTTAACACCCCTGGGAATCGTCCTGGAGCTTCATTAAAATGCAAAGTCTCAAGCCCAGCTCTGGGAGTTTGATGCCCAGGAGTTTGCATTTTGCACAAGCTCCCAAGTATCCTGATGCACAAGGTCCAGGTATATGAAAAACTTTGGTCTAGCAGTTGGTAGCACCTCTTGCCTTTAGTAAGCCTTAAGCAAGTAAGCCAAAGCTGAAAGAGGGATATAGGAATACCACCCCAAACCTCAACAACCATACCACTCACAATGAGTAGGAGCCAAATAAATAATGTGATTTTAGGGTAGGGAGAAGTAGAGGGCCGTTAGAGGTGAGAGCCCCAGGGAGGAGTGACTCCCTCTGGGGACTAGGGAGGCTTTGTGAAGCAGGCATGTTTGAGTTGAGTCTTGAAGGCATTTTCTTGCAGGGTTTTTTTTTTCTTTTTCTTTTTGGAAGGTATAGATGGCACTTTGTGAAGATAAACTCACTGAGGCATATCTCCCATCCCACATGTTCTTACCATGTGACTGGTACACTGCCTATGAAGAACTGAGGCTCTGTACCTTCTGCTCTTGAACCTGGGAAGGAGCATGTAACTGCTTTTCACCAGAGTGGGGCAAAAATGACACATGTGGTCCAGTCACTGAAAGCTTCTGCTTGGCTCTTTCCCTCTCAGGACACAGGCATCAGAGGTGAGCCACTCATACACAAGCAGGCTAGCTTCCCCATATCTGCAGCGCTGGAAGAATCAAAGAAATCAAGCATCTAGCCCCAGCCACTGAGCTGCCCCTGCTGATCCAGAGTGCAACAGAGGCGAACTGTTCCTAAATTGCACATTCATGAGCAAAATAAATGTTTTCATGTTTTTAAACTTCTACACTTTGGAGTCCTTTGCTATGCAGCACAGGATACATGGAATAGATTGTAAGGGCCTTTCAGGAAGAGGAATGACTGCAGGTGGACAGTGTGGAAGGAGGTCTGCAGTCACCATGTGCTCATTCCTGCCATTGGACCACCTGTGCACTTGTCCCAGAGGCGATGTTCATGCTTTTGCCAGGGTCATGTGACCCACTGAGCTGGTGATACCTTGAACTGGCAGATGTGGTTTTAACTGTTTCAACTTTGTTGAGATACAATTTTGAGGATATAATCAGCACCTTCTAGGTTCCTAGGAAAAGATTCACTCACTGCTAAATTGAAGCAAGTCAGGCATTATCTGGTCCCATGGAGGAAAGCACTGTGCCTGGCACACAAGGAGCTATAATGAATCTTGGCTGAGTTCGTGAGAGAGCCCTGCATGGAAGTAGCCAGAGTAACCCTGTTGCTGACTTGTGGGGTCAAAGAATCCTGGGCAAGACAGGGATTTTAAAGATCACCCTGCACACCCTCCTGCCAGTATCAAGCTACTGTCTGTTTACTCACCTCTCCTCGAAACCCATTTCTCACCTGTTTTGAGTTCTCTCCTTGTTTGGATCCAAACCTTCTTCTCAGACTCCCTACACATGGAGCCTGGCTCTATCTTTGGATCACAGGAATCTGCTCCCTTTCCTTTTGACCATCGTGATGGCTTTAGGATATGTCAGCCTGGCTAGGCTGAAACCCCTCCCCGGAATTCTCTCTGAACTGTTTCTAACCATGTCAGAAGCACTTCTTCAAAACCCAAGACTCTATTCATCTTGATGCCTTAGTAGGCTGGGGAAATCTGCCCCATCCAGAAACACAGATTCTAAGAAAGAAAACCAACGTTTACACTGAGAGGTTCAGAAAGGAAAAGTACATAAGTGTTGTTAACTTCCAGGATGGTACAAGCTCAAACAGCAGCATTTTCACAGCTGCCGTGAAACCCACCAGGCTAGAGTGGGCTGCAAGACAGACTCTTGCATGAGAGTTGTAGATTGGATGGGAGGTGTGTAGACCCACACAGCTTCTCCCAGGGATTTGACCCCATGATAATCTAGTGCTACAGTGAAAGGAATTTCCAGATGTAAAGGTCCCCGTCAGTTGCTGGGCCATGATTATGGTCTCTTCCCTGTGGAGACTCCCTTCCTGACTACCTACTCTGTGCACTTGGGGTTTGCTTTGCCAGCTCCCACATTTGCATAGTGTGTTAGTTACTTTTCTCTCCTTACTGAGACAAAATATTCAACACCCAAAGCTAAAGGGGAAAGGGTTTATTTAGCTTACAGCTCGCAGAGGTTTCAGCCCATAAGTCCTTGGGTCCAAGGCAGAGTGGCAGAGGGACAACTGTTCACGGTGACAGAAGACAACAAAAGCAACAAGAGGGTTTAACAGTGTTTTCCTACCCCTTTAATCTTATTCAGAGGATTAGGTGCCAAACCATTTACTCATGTGTAGTGGTTTAGTGATCACATGCCCTCAATCCCAGCATCACACACTAGATTCAGCCACCTCCAAAATAGCTCCACCTCATTTGCATGAGGCTTTGGGGGGGGCATCTAAACACAAGCTGTAACACATAGGGTAATGAGTGATCATTTAAACAATACTGATACAAATCTTTAAATTCCCTTTAAGAATCACTCTATCTATTCATCCACAGTCCTCCACCCACCCACCCACCCATCCTTCAATTGCCTAATCATCTGTCTGACCCACAGTTCTGCTTGGCTGGTTAACCCTGACCAACACCCCCACCTTGCAGGAGCCCTCTGTGTCCCCAGTCTTCCTTTTTCTAGACTTATTTCTACCAAGGCTCCTTACACAATGTGGTCTTGAGTTTCTTTGTCATCCTGGCCTCTTTCCAAAGATGCTATATTTTCTATCTGTCCCTCTACAGTTTATCCACTCAGCAGCATTTATTGCACGTCTGCAGCACACCAGGGATCATCTAGGGGTACAATGAAGAACAAGACTCATCAGTTCCTGGTTTTTCTTGAAGCTTGGGCCCCTAATTCTCAGGCCATATTCCCTCTAAGATACAGACCAATCCTACAAAGACTGGAAGAAGAAGGCTGTTTCACCACCAGGACCCTAAATACCACTTGGTACTGAGGCGGGACCATGCTATGATATGTAATGAGTGTTATTTGATGACATGTGGACAATAGTTCTATGAATCTCCAATCCCTTAAATGTTAGTTGCTCCACATCATTTTCATGGGCTTCTTTTCACCTTTCAGATGACCCAGGAAGTTGTCTGGCTTTTATGTGCAGAGCCAGATGCCACCAACCCCATCTGTAAGACCCCAAAGGCCATGCTGCGATCGTGGCCTTTTCCTCCAAAAGGCTTCCAGGGAAACCATCAGCTGTAGTCCATCTGGGGCTCAGGTTCTCTCCAGGTTCTCTTGTCCCTGTGGTTCTAATTCTCCCACTATCTTATTGGAGTCTTCAGTCCATGCAAGTACAAGGATGACCCTTTGCTCTTCAAAGACTCACCAAGGCAACTTGCTGGGCTGGAAATAAACTAACTTTTACCTAGACTCCTCCTTTCTGCTGTCACCAGTTTGGGTTTCTGACATAAGACAGCACATGAGACCTGTATTCTGTCAGGCCTGTGGGTCTTTGCAGAGAGCTGAGGAGGGTAAGAAGGACGCTAAGAACTGTGAACAACACCAGGGCCCCGGGACTGCATCCATATGAGGAAGAGGATGATGACAAAATAATAATGAACACTAGTGCACATGAACTATGCGTCAGGCAGTGCCTTAAACTCTTTATATATATTAACTTACTTCATCTTTTTAACAGCTGCACGTTAGTTACTCCTGCTATTCTCATATTATCAATAAGGAAACAGAGAGGTTTGGAAACAAGACTTCCTTAAGTGGCTGATTAGCAAGTGGCAAAGTAGGGACTTGAACCCAAGCAGGAAGTTGAGTCCGGGGTCTGTGCTCTCATCAAAAGCAAAGTGGGTCCTTCAAGTGCTTTCTCTCATTGAATCCAATCAACTCTTTGTGGCCAGTGTTCTGTCACCTAGGTCCCCCCCCACACACACACCCAACTAATGCTTTATTCAGAACACTTGTTGGTCCTTTCTCTTACTCGGGGGGCTTCTGGGAGGACAGGGGTGTGTGACGTGCCTAGCACAGTGCCTGGCACAAGGGCATGTCAGTCTATCAATAAATATTAAAGAACACAAGTATTTTACATATGAGGAAACCAAAACAAACCGGTCGAGGGGCCAAACTGGTAACAAGTGATAGAACTGATGCTAGAATCCAGATTTCCACGAGTTGAATTCCAAACTAATTTTCTACCACATTTTCCTCCCACCTGTACATGGACTTCACAGAACAGGGCATGTTACATAGTAGGTGCTCAGTAAAACATGCTGATAAATTAATGAAGTGGACTGTTTCCCAGCTCTCCTAGCATCCCATTCGTCCACCGTTTATCTTAGGTTTTCATCTTTTCTATCATGCCAACAACACAGTCTAAGGCATGTTTGCTGTACTCACTCCCATCCTGACTCTGGTTTATCTTTAATAAGTAATAGTTTACACCTTGTCCTGGATGTCTCCCCAGCCCCTGTGAAAGCGCTGCTGTTTGAGCTTGTACCATCCCTGAAGGTAACAACTTTACATATATTTTCCCTCTGAGTTTGGACTAGGCCATCAAAATGGAGAGTCTTGGGTTTTGAGGCTGTGGAAGTTTTTCCTAAGACAGGTATGGCAATTTTCTAAAGAAGCAGAGTCATTCAGTATTTAGGTTGGGAGACTTATCAGGCAAATGATAAAGTCACACTGGAGACATTAAAGATCCTGTGGGCCGGGGGAAGTCTGAACTGTTGGAATGACCACTAACGCAGGGGCAATGCTTTCCAATGGAAGGAGCTATAAACCTGGTTCCAGGCCCTTCCTTCTTTCCTCCCTCTCCCTCCCTTCCTCTTTTTCTCCCTCCCTCCCTGTCTCCCTAAAGAAATGTTCTAGGTAGGTAGACAGCATTTACACTGACCCAGCAGCAACAAATACCCTATCCTATTTGGGAAAAGATAACTATGTCCCATGAAAATGCAGTGAGCAAAAAGCAGGAAAAACAAGATGTGGAGCCTGCCAGGCAAGTGGAGGCTTAGTCTTCAGGCAAGGGGAGCCATTGATGAGTATTATTAAGGGAGGGGTTTACATTAATTTTCAACTTGTTATTATTGAGCATCCTGGGAGCATTTGGGAGCTCTACTCTTGCTTCGAGTGATTTGGTGGCCCTGAGCCACCAGAGAGACCTAAGAGTTAATTGCAGTTCTAATTCATAGTATAACAGGTGAGTCATTTCCTAGTTTGGGTCCTTAGTTTCCTGCCCCTAAAAGAAGAAATCAAAAAGCAAGCAGATTGGCAAACTTAGGATACTGACTAGTTTTTCTTTGCTGAACTGTTCCAGAGGGTCAACCTACCTTCAATAGGTGTGATTAATCAATTACAGAAGATAAATAGAGCATCTTAGAAGATTTAACATTCCTTATTTAAACTGTGCCTGTCTTTACAGGCTGCCAGAAAGTCTGTCATTCAGCTCTTCACAATAAAATTGCCCTATGTGAATGAAGACGAAATAAATCAGAAGCGGTGTGCTTCCAGACACACTAACTGAAAGTCCATCATGCAGGCAACCTCCCTCCAAATTAGTCACCAGATTAAATGCAAGACGCACACACCAAATCAATAACTTGTGACAGAGATTGCCTGGCTGTGCTTGAGGAAAATTCCACTTCCTCTTAGATGTTGTCGCTCGAAATGTCAGGAAGTTTCCATTCATCACCCACCCTTGAAAATGCCACCCTTCTTCGTCTTTCATATTTCCTTGCCTCCTCTCCTCGCAAGAGTCCAGGCACCTGGCTTGTGCCTTTGCCCAGCTAGTCCTGGGGACTGCAGAGAGAGAGGCAGAAAAAGCTTTGCACTAAACACAAGAGAACTAATCACACAGAAG